GTGTGGGCTGGAGAGGTCAAATGGTAAAAAATGTGGCCCGTAAAGGAATTATTAGTGGTTTAGAGCCCATACTAGGAGAAGGAGAGAGTCCATGGCTCACTATAACCTTATAATTATTATTACTACTGAAATAACTTTATCAGCAGCTGCTCTTACTCACTCGTTGCAATATCAAATACTAAACAGCCATAAACTTATGTATTTTTATACATGTACATTTCTTATTGTGATAGATATAGCCATATACTGTGTGTCCATTTATTTACATGTACATTAGGTTCCCATTCTTATTCCAATAGATACAGCCAGTGTCTACATTAGCAGCTAGTGAGAGGACCTGGATCAAAGGACCTTCAAAAACACCCTCTCTATCACGGGAAATACAAGTACACAAATGGTGACTAACTCACTGATGAACACTTATACTTTAATATATGTATTATAATGTATGCATTGATTATACTATTTTGATGTATATTTATTATAACACTTATGTATAGTAGCCCACTTTAGTGATTAATAATTTTTGTAAATACAATAAATATTTTTATTTTCATAAAATTAATAATAATTTTATATTATACATTCAATACTCTCATCTCTCATTTCAAAAAGGTAGCTATGTTTCCCGTAGCTTTGGGCCAGCTCTTGAGCAGTCTCTCCTTTATCATTGCATACACTTAAATCACAATCTTCCTCTAACAATAGACACTCAATAGTCTCTTTAGCTACTCCATTACAAGAAGCAAGATGAAGAGGAGTTTGGTTACCATTAGTCAATGCGTTAATACGAGCTCCATTTTGTAATAAAAGTGATACGATTGCTACTTTATTCCAGCGTGCTGCAGAGTGTAATGGAGTCCAGCCATCATTAGTTGTAGAGTGTAGGTCAGCTCCTATTGATAGTAGATATTGGACTGTGTCTAAGTGTCCATTGTAACTGGCTCTATGTAGTGCTGTATAGCCATCTTCGTCTTTATAATGCAACAACCAATTCTCTCCTTCTTTGTTCTCTGTGGATGTATTGTCATCTTTTCTTTGTTCTTTTTTAAAAGTTTTGTACAGTTCTTTCAGTACATCCGTTAGTCCAGTCTGTGCTGCCGTTAGGAATTTATCACCAGCTGATTCTCTCGTTAATGACTTTATATCAACACTAAAATAGTAATAATAATAATAATAAATAAACAATAATCATACCTAATTTTTTACATTTTATAATACATATTGAGGTTCCTATGCTTTGTAGAAAGTTAGAGCTGATTCTGACTTCAAATATTCAAGTTATGGCTATTTCAAAATTCTGAAAAATACCCAAGGCTATAGCCTATGGTTTTTTCCAAAAAATGGCTCCGAAATCACCCCAAAATTTTATTACATTTTCTGATACATATTGATGTCCTTATGCTGTGTAGAAAGTTTGAGCTGATTCCGACTTCAATTTCTTGAGTTATGGCCATTTTAAGAAAATGCCAAAAATTCTGAAAAGTACCCAAGGCTATAGCCCATGGTTTTTTTCCAAAAAATGGCTCCAAAATCACCCCAAATTTTTATTACATTTTCTGATACATATTGATGTATTTATGCTGTGTAGCAAGTTTGAACTGATTCCGACTTCAATTTTTCGAGTTACGGCCATTTAAAGAAAATGTCAAAATTCTGAAAAATGGTTTTTTCTGAAAAATGAGTCCGAAATCACCTCAAATTTTTATTACATTTTCTGATACATATTGATGTCCTCATGCTGTGTAGAAAGTTTGAGCTTATTTCGACTTCAAATTTTTAAGTTACGGCCATTTTAGAAAATGTTGAAATCATGAAACTACAATTTTTAAAGTTACGGCCATTTTATAATATCATACCCCTGAGGTAGTAAATCTTCCCTAGTGATACTGCCCAACTCATCAGCGCTTCCTTTATTCCAAGACTCGGCCGCCATGACAGCCATAGAGTCCCAAACACCTTCATCCTCAGCAGAAACAATAGAAAGTGACCCACCACCAATAGCCGCCATCTTTAATTAAATAATGATTAATTAATAATTCAATTAGTGGTCTAATTAAATATTCATTACCACTAGTTAGCCACACCTACCACAACAATGGCGGAACCTGCCCCTCGTTATGTTCTTTTGTCTGGAGGCGCCGGGTACATTGGTAGCCATACGCTTATAGAGATGCTTGAGTCCTCCCCGGAATATGCCCCAGTGGTGGTTGATAACCTTTATAACGCTAGCAGGGAGTCTATTACTAGGATAGAAGCACTGACAGGGAAAAAGGTGGTTAATGGGGGCGTGGCTGGGTATAATTTGTTATTTTACATAATTGGGTTAGTGTTATTATTGGGTTTAGCTTTCAGTTTATTTGATTAGTTCATTAATCTATTTCCTTTCAACTTTGGGGCCTCACAGAATGGGTGACACTGCTTCATATTTTTATAATAATGTGCATTTTGTGATATCAAAAATGATTTTCTTTTGAAATTAAGATTGTGGGGTCCTCTTGCTTTTTTTGTACCCTGGTAATTTGGGGGGAGGCAGAATTTTTCTCTCTGTCTCCCTTTTAGTAGGCCTGCTATTAATTGATACTACCAAGAGTAGATACTACACTTGCTTTATTGGACTATAGTAGTGTAAATTGTAGGACAATTGTAGATAGTGCATTGGTTAACTCAATTACTGTGATGTATGCAGCATTAGTACATCAATACATTATGTATCTATAGTTTTGCCTATAGTGGTAGAGGGTGGTCGGGACAACAACCTCAACAACTGAACCAGCCAGTTCATCACTTAGACCAACCATCCAATTAATACTAATAGCCATACATAAAGCATGATATTGTAGTCTACTAGTATGGTGTACATGAATTTAAAAGGAACAATATTAGTCTCCAGCCACCTCTAATCTTATTATAAGCATAAACCTGTGTATCAGACAATGTAATATAAATTGTTTCTCTTCTCCTCCAGGTTCCATTTTATGATATTGATCTCACTAAGGATCCAGCCACCTCAGGATTAGATGACCTTTTTACTAAATATTCCTTCCACTCCGTCATTAATTTCGCCGGTATGAAAGCAGTCGGTGAATCAATGAAGATACCACTCGAATATTACTCGTGTAACCTCTCGATTGTATTTAATCTACTAGCCGTCATGAAGAAGCACGGGGTCAAGAACTTTGTATTTTCATCGACGGCCTGTGTCTATGGAGAGCCCCAGTACCTCCCTATTGATGAGTCCCACCCAGTGGGGGACTGTGCTAATCCTTACGGGAAATCCAAATATTACAT